TTTTAAAATCACAGACATATGACTTTATTCATTAGGATTTAAGTCCACACTGACATATTTTGAAAAGTACAAAGAAGGAAACAAGAGAATCTGTATAAATCAATTGCAGAAATTCTTGGCTTAGAAACTCAAAGGATTGGTTTAATTTTGGCATTATGTAAACACTTCTTGATCTTGCTTTTTGGTGTGTAAGTGTGTGTATTTGTGTGTGTGTGACATAATTTTTAAGTGAATGTGGGAGGAAAATTCTGGGGAAGACATTCTCAGTGGTAGGGAAGGTATAGTAAATTATCCCTTATTATCAAAGGCATTTCCTTTTAATTTCTGTTTCTATGAACACAAAAAAATATCAAAATGCATACGAATTTGCTGCCTAGGAAACAAAATTATTTTTGTGTGGAGAAACTGGAGATTTATATCCCCTTAAAATGGCAAAGAAATACAGCACTGCATATTCTCTTTCATTTTCATAGTTATCTTTAGCAGAATTATTGCAATTAATTTTGTGCAATGAGGACACAAGTTTTTCTTTTTTTCTTTGTGTGCAGAGAAAAGTTTAAAAATAAACGTAGATGTTTCAATGTAAAGTTAGTGAAAGTATATCAAAATGAAATCAGGAATTCACAAAATAAAATCTCTAACTTTTGTTTTCTTGAAAAGATAAGCTTTGCTTCAAAATTAATAGAAAATTTGACACAACAATGAAAATGTCTATATATTGTTTAAAAAGAAAGAAAAAAAAAACAGGAGAGAGTGAGAGAGCCTTGCATTTTACTTAATACTATACAGAAGGAGCTCTTGTGGTGTAGTGGTTAAAGCATTTGGCTTCTAGCTGAAAGGTAGGTGGTTTGAACCCACCAGCTGCACCAGGGAAGAAAGATGAGGCAGTCTGCTTCCGTAAAGATTTACAACCTTGGAAACCTTAGGGGTAGTTCTGTTCTGTCCTATGGGGCGTCTGTGTGTCAGAATGGACTCAATGGCAGTGTTTTTTTTTTTTTTTGTTATGGATACAGAATCGTTTGCTTGCTTACAAAACTTCAAATAGATCATCGGCTATGCTTGGTATTGGGTGAAGCACACTGAAGTGCTGGACTTGATTTCAGAAAATGGGGCTCCCAGCTCTGCTACGTAATAGCTGTGTGACCTGGGTAAATTACTTTATCTGAGCCTTAGGAGCTCTGGTAGCATCGTGCCTAAGGCATTTTGACTGCTAACCAGAAGGCTGGCTGTTCAAACCCAGCAGCCACTGCTTGGAAGGAAGGTTGGATAATTTACTGTCTGTAGTAATACCGCTTCGGAAACCCAAGGAGTGGTTGCCAAGAGTCGGCTACGATTTGACAGCTGTGGGTTTGGTTTTTCGGTTTATCTGAGCTTTGGTTTCTCACCTGTAAAACTGATGTGATAATGGTATGTACCACACAAGATTAAAACATAATTGACATTGTATCTGTGAAAGCACTGAGTTCACTGTCTCCCTGGCACATTGCAGATTTGTTAGATCAAAATAATCCAGATAATTAATTAATAATACTCTGTTTTTGGTAGCAACTTTCTTTAATATTCATAAATTATTTTTGCACATGGCATAAATACCTCCCCTATACTTTACATATATTAGAACCAAGCTTGGGGAAATCTTGACTTTACATATATATGGGGTAAATTTAAGGTTATGATTCATCTACTAGTAATTAGAGAAAGAAATGAAAATCAACTGTCATTTCTGTTCTTACTACACTTAGTGGAAAAAGTAATGAGACAATGTTAGATCTTAGATGATACTTACTAGTATGTTTCAGTAATTTTGGTGTTGTCTTCACTCTTTACTACATTTAAAGCAACAGCAAACGAAAATCATGTCAAGATTCACTTTTTTTGCCTCAAAAATCTTAGTCTGTGTTTCTAGATCTAGAGTTATCCCTGAAATGACATTTTCCCCATCTCATTTTGCACCTTGCCTTTTCCTTATAACTCATATTCTCTTTTCATCAGTACATCTGCCCAAAAAGCTCTTCTACTTGACAGTTCTCTCCCACACTCGCCTCTGAGTTTCTAACAAGACATACCTCTGGGAATTGCAAAGTGCCATATTTAAAATCTCTCAGTGAGAAATGCAGGTTTTTCCCGTGTGATCATAAGGGATTCCTCAAATCTGAGTTTTAGAGCTAATATACAACAACTGATAAGCACAGTATTTTCACATTAGTATATTTATGTTGTGCTAATATACTTAAACAGTGTGTATGTCCATTGAGGATTTTCCACAAATTTCTTATCAGCTTTCTTTTAACTTTTAAGAGAGATATCTTACATATTTGTATGCTATTGTCTGTAATTCCACTGTAACTCCTAAGCTAAATATGCATATCCGAACTGGAAGGTCATTGTTGCAAAACGATACTCATTGGGATGCTAAAAACCAAAAACCCAAACATTTGCCATCGAGTGAGTCCAACTCTTGGCAACCCCACGTGGGCAGAGTAGAACTGCCCTCCATAGGATTTTCAAGGCTGTGGACTTTCAGAAGCAAATTGCCAGGCCTTTCTTCCAGGGTACCTCTGAGTGAGTTCAAACAACTAACCTTTCAGTCAGTAGTCAAGCACTTAACCATCTGTGCTGATCAGAGATTCCTACTGGAATACTAAAAACCCATTGCCATCAAGATGATTCCAACTCATAGCAACCCAATAGGACAGAGTAGAACTGCCCCATAAGGTTTCCAAGGCTATAATCTTTACAGGAGTAGCTCTGCTGGAGCTGTGGTTAAGCATGGGGCTGCTAATCATAAGGTCAGTGGTTCAAACCCACCAGCTGCTCTGTGGGAGAAAGATGGGGCAATCTGTTTCTGTTGAGATTTATAGCCTTAGAAACTCTATGGGCTGGTTCTACTCCATCCTATAGGGTTGCTATGACCCAGAATTGACTCAATGGCAGTGGGTTTGGGTTGGGCAATCTACTTCCGTAGTGATACTGCGTCAGAAACCTAAGGAAGGATCGTTATGAGTGGGATCCGACTCGACGGCAGTGAGTTTGGTTTTCTTGGTTTGATTATGGAAATAGACTGCCACAGAGTGGCTGGTGAATTTGAACCACCAACCCTTTGGCTAGCAGCTGAGCACTTAACCTATTCACCACCAGGGCTCCTTGGAATACTAATGAAATCCACTGCCATCAAGTTGATTCTGACTCATAGTGGCCCTGTAGGATGGAGTAGAAGTGCCCCACAGGGTTTCCAAGGCTATAAATCTTTATGGAAGCAGATTTCCTCATTTTTCTCTTGCAGAGAGGCATGTGGGTTTGAATTGCAGGCTCTCCTTTTAACAGCCAAGTGCTAACCTCTGAGGTACTAGGAATACTAGTCAGCAATAAAAAGAGACTAGTTACTTTTTATGCTACAACATGGATAAATCTCAAAGGTCTTAAGGTAAATAAGCCAGACACAAAGACTTCATACTGTATGGATTCATTTATTTGGCATTCTGGAAAAAGCAAAACTATAGGGACAGAAACTAAATTATTGGCTAGCAGGAGGGAACTGACTACAAAAAGGGCATGAGGGAACTGTGTTAGAGTGATCAAATATACTTTGTCTTGATGGTGATGGTGGTTACATAACTGTAGACAGGTGTCAAATGCATCAAAATAAACATCTCAAATGGGTGACTATTAAAAGAATATAAATTTTACTTCAATAAACCTGACTTTAGAAAAGATTAACAGGTTAACAAATGAAGAGAATACTTGTTTGAAAGAGTTGTGTATCATCTCTCTGCAGATATGCTTTCTGATGACATACCATGTGTCTGGTTTCCATCCATTTCCATTTCCAGCTCTAAATGAATGACATTCAGATTAATTTTAAATAGCTAAAGTCTACTTTAATATGATTTATTTACTGTGTTGTGGTATTTTAGGATTAAATGATAATTATATAGCAAGTATAAATATTATGGAATGTTAATTGTAAGAACATTATTAAACAAAATGCCTGCCCTAGTAACATACCAACTATTTGATTTTTATTTCATTTTTTAATCACTAGCAATTAAGCTACCATGCTAAGAACTTATTGTAGCTAATATTATTTAATGGTTACAAAATCCTGAGAAGTAAGTGACATTAGCCCCATTTTAAATAAGGAGGACTTCAGCTCAATGAGTAGCAAGCTTCCCAAGTCCTCCTGTTCCAGAGCCAACATTTGTAACCACTTTTCATTTATTTTTACCAGTTTAACAATAGGTTGCATAAGTCTTTGGAAATAAATTGTAAGGAAATTGTAAATTCTTTCCTTCTTCCCCCGAAGGAAAGAAGATTTTCAAAAGGAATTGATACTGAGCACTAAAAGCAGAGACTAATGATTCCTAAGTGAAGAGGAAAAGTGAAGTGGCAAAAGACTTGCCACTCATTTTAACAATAACTGATAGAAGCTGAGTTTAATTAGAGTAAAGAAATAAATTATTTCCAACCTCACACAAGTTTCTAGTACTGTGAAGCCAGGCTTTAATGAATATTGTCTCACAAAAAGAAAATTCTTTCTGAGTTTATAAATTTATCACTGAACTGCTATTTTGTAATATGAGTACATCAATACACATTATTAATTCCTTGCCACTTTACATAAAAATAACTCAATATATTCTGTATAATACTTCTTATGTGAGATATTATCAAGCCTAAAACTTACTGTTTGGGCAAAATTTATACTCGGGGACAACAAAAGTCAGAAATCCTTACAACTTTGCGCTAGCTCTCATATTGGACGTATAGTACTTTAAGTAGATAATATGTATTTGATTCACTACCCAGCAGCTGCTCATCCATAGTGGATTTTTTTTTACAGTAGCTTGCCAGAAACTCTTACCTTTTATTCAGAATTGTCTGGGTAATGCCTTCTCCACTTGCATTGAACTGTAAGTACTGTGTGCTGTAGAGGTGTGCAGTTAAAATACGTTTATTCTCAGAAATATTTTAAAAATATTTTAAAATGTTTTCCTTTGCAGAATCAGACACAAGTTTGGCAGAAGGAAGTGTCAGCTGCTTAGATGAAAGTCTTGGACATAACAGCAACATGGGCAGTGATTCAGGCACCATGGGAAGTGATTCAGGTACTGCCTAACTGTTGTGTAAACCTTAAAAAGTGTGAAATAAGACACCATATAGTGGGAAGCATGGGGGCTGTTCATACCCTCCCTAATGTATTTATCAATTAAAGCAATTCTTCTCTACTGTGAAGTAGTTTTGGAACTTTGCCATTCACCTTATTTAGAAGTACAACTTACAAAAGTCTTCGAGAATCAATTAATACCGATCCAGGACATATCTTTTTGCTATGCCGTATTCCACATTGCATGCCATCTATTTCATTTATGAGATCTGTTTCAATTAATTTGGCAGCATTTGAAAGCTATATTCTATTTTGTAAATTTATTCCCAGACCCTGCTTTTTCTTGAAATATAAAAAAAAATAATCAATATAAAGAGTTTATAGAGAACTGCATATGACAAAAGACTCCCTCTTAAAAATTACATGTTTAGTCTTAGAAATTACATGTGTAGTCAAAAGTGCACCACTTATTATAAACATCACTTGCATAGGAGGAGAGTGTGCAAAATATTTTGGTCACTAAATGAGAACTTTAGTAGGAGTCTATCAAATTACTGTTTATATTGGTTGTGTAACCCAGCAATAATAAACCCGAATGCTTGTTTCCAATTTGCCCGTACTTCTGATAATTCCACTCTTAGACTTCTTAACTTCTGTCAGTCTGATGGATTTCAAATACTTTCTTTGTATTCTTTGAATGTGTATTTCCACTGTTACTACTGAGGTACAATATTGTTATCTTGTAAATATTGGGATGGATCCTTGGGTGTCTGTTACACATATTTCTATATTGTCCATATGCTTGAATATCATAATTAAATATTTCATAATTAAAATGAACAAATTGTAGGTAAACATAGTGGCTGTAAAATAGGCTCCAGCATAGCAACAGTTGCGAGGATGGTGCAGGACAAGGCACTGTTTTGTTCTGTTGTACGTGGGGTCGTGGGGTCGCTGTGAGTCAGAACTGACTTGATGGCAACTAACAACGACAAACAACAACTAAAAGTAAAGGCTTTGCAGCATGGCCAGCAAATTATTGTTAATTCGTTCTGTGATTGTAGAAAATACTCAGATTATCCTATATTAGCAAAAGAATTAGGGAAATTTAGACCTAGAAGAAGCTTAAAAGGACAAAATAATTTAAATAATGGTGATTATCTACCCTAACAGCTTTCCAAATGAGGGCCCACTACCTCTTTTAGTTTGATGTTCTTTTTTATCATAGTAACCCTCTTAAAATCTCTTAGGACCAGTTGGCGGTGAAAACCCAATTCAATAAATGTCAGTCATAACCTTCATTTTAATTAAAAAGGGTTAATTCATTTCTTTTCAATTCAGTCAGTGTTTATTAAGTTCTTGCCACGTGCTTATTTTTCTGGACTGTAGTTGTTTTTTGCTAAGCTTGTTACAAAACTGATAAATGTAATTATTAACATGTCTATTAAATGCTATTGATGAAAATAACTCGAACCAATATTTAATGTTTAAGCTTCTGGACCTCATCCTAATTTTTGTTTGTCTAAGTAAGGGCTTTTCAACAATATTCTTTCAATAAATATTGAATGTAGATTCTCTATGTGCAGCGCATTTTGCCTACATAGAGCTGTTAGCAAATGGAAGTATTTGCTGATTCTTCGTCCTCAGTGTTGCATGAAAGACGTGATAAATCTGAATGCAACCTACTTTTGAAAAGCAAATACATTTTCAAAAGCAAATACATTTTGAAAGACAAACGCATTTTCAAGGGTCACCCCTTGATGTTCTAGATGGGTCAGTATTTAGTAATGAAGAATTACTTTGCATAGTGAGTAGTAAAATTCTGAAATCATAGTATTATGAAATTCCTTACCCTCAGGTAAGGAATAGGCTGAAAATTAAATTAGTTTAAAAAACCATTTAAATAAATTGGTGACTATTAAACACATTGGATTACTGAAAAGCATTATAATGCTTGGGATTATATTGCAACCTTTGAGGTTGACATTAAAGGGACCTTATTTTACCTGTGCTTTGTTGTTGTTTAAAGGTCATTTGGAAGGATATAAAGATTGTAGGCTGACCCCGTACACATTATGTTTCTTCATGGAGGTATTAGAAGTCTGGTACCATGGTAAAGCATAATTAATTGTACTTTTAAAGTTTAAATACTCTAATTATACTATGGGAAGATTTTTTTTTTCCTGCTTCCCATTTTCAGAGAGATATGCTGCTTTTACAAAGTAGTAATATTCTTGGCAATACACACTGGCCTGATATGTAGAAAGTATTTCCTTACTATTTTGAGGGAGTGCCTATTAATGTTTGTCCAGCTGGAATGTGTATTTTTCTGTGGTTACATACTATAGGTAAAGGAATATTTTGTCGATTTCAAACACATGCAGTGACAGACCTTTTTTCTCCAAGAATAACTCAGCTGTCAAAAATCAATGTGAGAATGAAATTTGCCACATGGTGTAGTTCCAATGGAATATTATTATTTAAACCCTATTTGGTTTCATTTTTTGACCATTTATATGGTATAGGGTAATTTGAGGGTGATCAATCAGTATTTATTGTAGAGGGTAGGCACAGTGTTACTCAGAGCCTGTGCACATTTTAAATATCATTTTCACTTATTGCATTTAATTGATTCTGCTTTTCAAAGAGAGCCAAATCAAACAAACAACAAACAAACAGAAACCCAAACATTTATTTTTTGAAGGAAGTCAGTTCCTGGCTCAGTGACACCAGCCTAGTTCTCTCCTTCTGCTGACGGAGAAGATAACATTCTCTTTTCATTGCTGCTGAGGATAAATTCTTCCATCCCTGTGTCAGAAGATGTGATGAGGCAAGAATCAGGCTGAATATTTAGCACTCACCCAGCTCTTTCTCTTTGCATGCTGCTCTCACACTGAATCCAAGTCTCATTTTTTTCCATATCTACTCTTCCCTTCTCTTTGAAACTTGAGGCTACCCATTAAGTCTTCTAGATTTGACAGGAACTCCAAACTATGGAAAGTTATTGAACTATCTATCCATCTATCCATCTGTTTTTAGTGGCAGCAGTATACTACCCTAGTCTCTAAAGTCCTTGAGGATAAGGTTTGTATTCTGGTGGAGTGCATGGCATGGAATAAGCACCCAGTGAATATTTATTGCTGAATGATAGTAGGTACATGACTAGATACATATCAGTAAAACATCTTGACTTTGGTTTTTGAGTTAAAATTTAAACGTGATAGCCATTTTAGCATTCTGACTTTTCTGAAATCTATTATGCAGTAAATGTCAAATATGTGTGTGTGATATTGATAATCTACTTGTTTGACTTGGTTTTAAATTCCTGGAAAAGACTTAGGAATGTGCTACATATTTCTCTTTTTATTTTTTGTTACCCAAGTATACAGTCATAGTAAGCATGAAAGACAAAAAGGAAAAATGATTATTTAAGAAATATATGCCATTATTATGAGGGAAGTAGCACTTCATTTTTTAAAATCAATGCAAACATGTGCCTAGAATGAAATAAAACTAAGAGAACTTGGTGATATCTTTTAACAAATTTCCTAGATTAAATAGCAAATTAGACAAAATAAATTTCTGGATCTTGATGTTAAAACACCATTTAAAATACAGCTTCTTTTGCAAATACCTTTGCTTTTTGGAAAAGTTAAGTGATACGTACTCAATATGGATGGAACATTAGGATTTTGATAATGTATAAAAGCCACTTATCAAAGAAGTAATAGTATCCTTAAATATTTTTGAACCTTTCATAAATGTAATAGAAAACCAATTATTATAATTTCCACAGGGTTGAAAGCAGTCATGGAAAGGAAATTCCCAAATGTATATTTTTAAATTCTGGTGATCTCGAATGGCTTTTTCATGAAAGTCATATTAAACAAATCAGCAGATGATCCAATGATAGCATAAATGTATTGCATCTGTCTTTACTCATCCATACAGAGGGCAAACTTCCTGCCAAGTTAGTAAATAACTCTTACTAAGTGGTATTTGGTGTGAATTTTCCTACCTGTTCAGATAATACTATGACAGCAAGTAAAAACACACTTAAATATTATCATCCAGTTACTGTAATGGAACCATCAGCAACTATGTGGAAGTTAATGGAATTGTGTTAGTTTAGTTTTATTGCAATTATTTATAGGAGAAAGAGCACGCATTTCATGTGTAATGAAATACTGATAAGCACTGTAATTTCTTTCTCTTTTTTTGTAACTGTGTGAAGCAGAAGGTGGCCTTTTAGATCTATATAATATTAATTTTCTGGCATTCCACATGATAAGGGATGCATTTTCAGATCTTTTACCCCTCACTAATATAGATAAATATGGTCACTTCTGAATGAAAGATATTGTTAAGCCAAGAGATATTATAAACATTTATTGTAATTTCCACAAATTAATGTATTTATTGCCTATTTTATCAGTATTTTAAATTTAGATAATTAAAGTTAAGATGAGCTAGGAAACAAATATTTAATTCATTATGAATCTATATTGATTGTATATATTTTTAATATATTATGCTTTAGATTTCAGGAGAATATGTATGAATACATAGAGATATGTAAGAAGGTGATAAAGATCACAATACTGACAATCTAAACTAAATGGCATAATCAGTCACAATTTAACCAATACAGTTATTTTTCAATGTTCTGTGAAAACCTATGAATTAAAGGCTAGCACAGGAGTTTTCCCTACCCTGTGAATATCATTTCTGTTCAGTCTGGTTGGCTCAAATGAGAAAAAGGACTCACTATATGTAGATAGCCCCCTGCTGACGTGTCAGATCCAGCTCATAGCGACCCCTCCTTGGATTTCAGAGGCAGTGTTACTATAGAAATAGATTGCCCAACCTTCCAAGGTGTGGCTGATGGGTTTGAACCTCCAGTCTTCTGGTTAACAGTCAAATGCCTTAGGCCCTATGCCACCAGAGCTCCTATATGTATATATTATACTATAGCATCTGAATATTTATAAATTTATAAAATTTTCTGTGTGTTCATTGATAGGTTTTATGATTTGAGTGTTTCATTTCAAAAACTGATGTTTTCTCAAGCATTTTATCACCCAATCT